GAGTGAAAATCCAGAATGACTGCATAGGCCTTGGAGCTTTGGCGTTTCAGTTGACTCAGACATGCTGTAAATCTGTGCAAGTAGAAAAAAACAAAAGCTGACCCCCTGGATAACTGTTCCCCCAAGGGGCCCAGAGAAGCTTTCTTTTCCTTGCAGAATCCTTAATCATGTCTCCCAACTATGAGTTTTCCATGCAACTGCACAGATGAGAAATAGGGAGAGACTAAGGTCCTGAGGATGTGATTGCCGAATGAATGGCCAAGATGTGTCTCCCATGTCTTCTAAAATGTTTAGAATTTCCCAGGGATCTGTCATTGCCCCCGATCTGATGAATGTTTCAATCGGTGAATTGGATAGAAACAACAGAAGGCAAGCCCACCAAATTTTTTAATGATACAGAGGTGAAAGGGAGTTTGGAAACAATTATAATTTTAAAATGATTTTGGCTGGCTCTGGGGCACTGAGTTGATCACAGTAACTTGTAATTTATTAGGGGTAGTGTTAAAACCTGTACTTCAGAATCAAAAGTGTAAGTACAGGTTGGGAAAGGATTAAATTGACAAGGGTTTTATATGAAAAAGTTGGAGGGATTTTATTTGCCTGTAAGAAAAGTATGAGTCAATGGTGTAATGTGTTTGTGTTAAAAAAAAAAAAAAAAGAAAAAGAAGTTAGGGACCAGAAAAAGGAAAGTAATCTTTTTACTTTACATAATTTGCACAAGTATAAAATACTCAGTGGGTTGGATTCAGTGTAAGGGCCAAATTTAAGAAAGATATTGATTAAATGGAGTTGGTTACTAAGGGAAGGAAGGAAAAAAGAGGGCTAAATTTAAAAAATCCCCAAAATTATATTGTTTAAAGAATGGTTGAAGGAAAACAAAGATATTCAGCTATTTTTTTTTAGAATTACCATATAGAAGAGGAGTAAACTTGTCTATTTTGCTCTGAAAAGCAGAAATGAGATTAATGAGAGTTCATGGAAACAGATTTTGGCTCAATAAAAGGAAAAGTTTTCAAATAATTAGAGCAGTTCCGTGACTACTCCATAAATTGTGAGCTTTCTGTCACTGGAAATAATCAAGCTAAGGCCAGATGAGCGTCTGGGATTCTGAAGACTTCCAGCATGGAGCGAGAGCTCAGGGTAGGTGACCTTTAAGACCACTTTCAGCTCCCATAGTCTATGATTTAAGTAAGCAAGAATGCCAAGGCCACTCCTGACATGCCAGAGCTACTTTTTCAACTCTTGGCTCTGATTCTAACCAGCTGTGTGACCTTCAGCCAAGAAATTAACCATTTTTTTCTTTCAGTTTCCTTATCAACCAAATGAGGGATCTGGATTTAATGCTCTTCTCTCCAGCACATCTGTCTCCTTGAGCATCCTCATAATGATAACATGTTGGGAAAGTACAGTTGGAGCTGATAACCTGCCATTTTTCTAAGTCGACCTACAAGAAGGCTTAACAACCAAAAGCCTTTGTTGATTCTGGGGACTACTGGACTAAACTCTCAGCTGCTTGTTGGCAGGAGAGCAAGTGATTGTGATCCTGGAATTTGTTCTCATGAGATCTATGGCAGGAAGTTGATCAAATAACTGACAATCCAGTTTTTCTCAAACACCTGTATATTCCGGCTGAGTTCAGCAACGCCTCTACAGACAACTTAGAAGAAATGAAGGTCATATTACCATTGCAATACAATTCTATCTTTTACAAAGCAAACCTTTGTTCTTTATTTCCGTAATGATCTGGCAGATGCTGTTGAGCTTGGCTTACAATCATAAAAATTAATATCCATAAAGTGGATTTAATATGGCAGATACTGTTCTAAAAGGTTTGTAGACGTTAATTTACTTGATCAGTTTATAACCTGAAAAATCTGATGATGAATCAGTAGGTTAGATCCTTTTTTCCCCTGTGGAAAAGGAATAGTTAAAATCCAGTTTAAATCCATCCTAATGATAGAGAGTTGAGAATTTAGATCCCTGCCCTCATTCTTTTAGGCTTTCTTGCTGATGTTCAATTACTGTAATTTCCTGTGTGGTTCATCTGATTACTAACCCTTTTCTTTTCTGCCTAGATTAAGGTGCCTCATCCGCCACTACTACATTCCAGCTCTTCTTTCTCCTCTTGGACTTCTTTCTGACTCCCACATCATTGTCTCCAAATCCCATTTCTTCTCTTTTTTTTTCAAAGATTTTTGGAAACACACATAGGGGGGCTGCCATAGTTTGCTTTGATATAATTATGGAAGGTATGAGTAGGATTTCAAATACCTCCTCCAGTTACTGAGGTTAGTGGGGGAAGAAATAAGTAAATTTATGCTTTTTGTAAGGACATGAAGAATTCAAAACCTTATTCCCAGGCTCGCGGGTCTGGCAGTTCTCACTCCATCCAAGTACCACATTTTCTTCCATCTCTTTGTTTCCTTAGGTTGGAAATGAAAACAGCTGTTAAAAATAAGAACACATGAGTCAATCTTGAATCTCAATGTATAATTACAGTTTCCATCTCTGTTGGTAAAGTCCCTCCCAGTGTACTGAGCCCCATATCACAGCCCCCTTGCTGTCAACTTTATACCAAGACTTTAATTTGTGTTTTCCAAATCTCTAAGATTAAACACTAAATCATTTGCCAAGCCAGAAAAAATAACAAGGAAGAAAATACTTCAATTTAAAAACTTGATTCTCAAGCATGCTCTTTTTCTGATTTAGATCTTGAGCAGATCTCTATGTCAGTATTAGAAATGTCAGTTACGGTTCCACATTTTTGAAGGTGGAGATTCAGGGCTTTGTGGTATCCTCACCGTGAAGAATGTTGCTTGAACTCTATAGAGGCTATGCCTTGAAATGTATTGTATTTTCACTTTTCCAGGTTCCTGAGGGTTATGACCTCCTAAACCAATCTTAAAAGAGTCATCTAGAGCCTATTGATTGTCACCTTCTGGAGCAGATTGATCCTTTTTCAGTTCTGCCCAGTCCGCCTTATCAACCACTCATTCCTTGACTGAGTAATCCCATTGTCTAAAGCTCTGAAGGTCCCCAGTGAATCAGCGGCCTTCAACTGGCTAATCTAATTTGCCCTATAAATACAGATCATATGCTATTAGCAAGAGAACTTCGTGTCCTATAGGAGGAGAAGCAGGAGACAAGAGACTTGGTGCTTTCAGTCACTTCATTTAGCCTTATTTCCCCTTTCTAAGATTTGATTTCTTTATTGTTAGATTAGATTATTTCTATGATTCATTTCCCTGAAAAGATTATTATAATTCTGTAATCATTGTATCCTCCAAGAGCTAGCTTTGTGCGTTGAAAATTGCCTTGGTCAGTTTGGGCTGCTGTAACAAAAATATCACGGTCTTGGAAGTTTAAGATCAAAGCACTGGCAGGTCCAGTGTCTGGTGAGAGAGAGAGAAGTGGGGGGGAAGAGCTCTCTTCTTATAAGGGCACTAATCCCATCATGTTAAGGGCAGTAATCCTATCATACCTCCCTGGCCTGATTACCTCCCAAAGGCTCTATCTCCAAATATTATCATACTGGGGATTAGTATGTATTATCATACATATGAATTCTGGGGGACACAAATATTCAGTTCATAGCAGAAATGAAGATATTTGTATGCACGCTGTGATTTGTGGAATTCTGGGAAGGCTATTGAGCCCTTGCTCCCCCAACCACACTTAAAATCCTGCCATTAAATATTTCCTCTCAGACATAACACCTTTTAAAATCTAATATGTTTGGCTATGGAAAGAGCCCAGATGTCCTTCAACAGATGAATGGATAAAGATGTGGTGTATATATACAATGGAATATTACTCAGCCATCAAAAAAAAAAAAAAAGAAAGAAATCTTACCATTTGCAAAGATATGGCTTGAACTACAGGGTATTATGCTAAGCTAAATAAGTCAACCAGAGAAAGAATTATATGATTTCACTCATATGTGGAAATTAAGAGACAAAACAGAGGATCATAAGGGAAGGAAGGGAAAAATAAAATAAGATTAAATCAGAGAGGGAGACACGCTGTAAGAGGCTATAGGAAACAATCTGAGGGTTGCTGGAGGGAAGGGGAGTGGGGGAATGGGGTCACTGGGTGATGGGCATTAAGGAGGGCACATGATGTGATGAGCCCTGGGTGTTATATAAGACTGATGAATCCCTGAACTCTACCTCTGAAACTAATAACACACTATATGTGTGTTACTCTACCTCTGAAACTAATAACACACTATATATAATAATAAAATTAATTATTTTAAATAAAATAAAACAATAAAAAAATAAAATCTAATCTGTTTGGAAGGGCAAACCTGGAAAACTAATATGTGAGGTAGTATAGCGTGGTGCTGGTACAGTGTAGTGTTGTCTGACTGGATCCGACTGCCTGAGTTCACACACTTACTAGCTCTATGACCTTAGGCAATTAATTAATCTTTCTGGGCTTCTGGAGCATCTATATAATCAAGATGATAATAACACCTCAAAGGTTCTTGTGAGGTTTCAATGAAATATGTAACATGCTTAGAAGAACAGTATCTTGCTATATAGTTGTTAGCCATTGTCATCCTTTGTTTGCATAAATCAGCATGTTATATTGATGTCCTTTTGACAGAAAGTTGTTATCAAGCCACAAAGAAATCGGAGTTTTGTTCAGGGAAGGGGGGGCGGGGGAGATATTCCATGGCTACACAAAGCCCTGTGAAGAAATGGTCTGCGTAGTGAGGTGCTACGATTGGAGGCATAAAAATAAACAGGGGTTCATCTGCTTCTCGTCCTAGCCAGTCTGCCCAGGAACGGATAGAATGAATCCGCTGCTATGGGGAGCAAGGAGTGTAATTCACATCTGCACATGAACTTTGAATTCGGCACCTGCTTAATTTTTCTGTGTCTCATAATTCTCTCCCTTGTAACATTCAGGTCATATTAGGTCCCCTGAAGAGCCATGGTCAAATGTAGAAGTATTCTTCTTCTCTGCTAAATGCCCTTGCCTCTTTCTCTTAGATTACATGAAGCAGACGACGTTCGAAGCCCAAGCGTTTCTAGAAGCTGTACAGTTCTTCCGGCAGGAGAAGGGACACTATGGCTCGTGGGAAATGATCACAGGGGATGAAGTCCAGGTAACACGGGCTCAAAATTCTGGACCCTCTTCTCTGTCTACACGTGGGAGGTCAGAGTCATAATTTAAAAATTTTTTTAAAAATCAAACAATAAAAGTTGCAAGAACAGAAGATGTAGTTCCAAAGGCCGTTTCTCTCATCGTCTAGAAGCATTTGGTCCACAAGCTATTAGGCACCCTCTCCAAAAACCTCCAGACCGGGCAGTAAACAGGGCAGCCTGAAACGCTGCAACGGCAATGGGGAGAGCTGCTTCTACTGCTTTCTACACAAAGCATGATTCTTTCAACTGGCCTCATGCTTCCAGACCATAAGCAAACATGTGCGGTGGGGGCTTAGGTCAGTGGACTTGGGCTAAATCTTGCCAAGTTATTGGACCTCTTTTTGTCTCAGATTAGTCCTCTGAGAAAGAGAGTAATGATAATGTTTACCTTGCAGGGTTCTGAGCATTAAGTGAGATGTTGTCGGAAAACTATTGGCATGCACTTGTCTTTATGTGTTGAATGATCTATAAACGAAGTCAAGGAAACACATTTTAAAAGCATTAGACAGTTTTCCGTGCATTTTATTTACCTCTTCTAGTTTTCTATCCCCCGTGGCCTGATATAATTTCCCATGACCTTGATTAAATGCTAGTCATGGGCTGAGTACCTCCATTGGCTTGGTACCAGGGACATTGTTACAAATCTCCAAGGAAACTGTGTCCATGAGAACACCAATCACATGGCTGATTCAGCCAGGAAGAGGAGGCTGGGTATGGCATTATTTAATTAGAGGCACACAGGGTCCAACAATGCTGTTCTTTCATTTCCCCTCATCTCCCCGAGTGCCTCTTTTGGGGGCCAGTGGAATTTGTTATTAGGAGCCAATATTTGGAAGAGACCAGATGGGGCCTTGCCTTCGTATGTCATGAAACATCTAACGCCGAAAACATTTGCTCATGATGATGGGGCTATTCTTCATTGTTTAACCATATGACTCAGAAGCTTCTTTTTTCCCTCCCTTTGGAGGATTCTAAACTCATTTATTTCTTAGCCTGAGACTTATTCCAGCACTTTAGCCAATTCTTGGTTTCTGATATTTGGGGGAAGCACATCCATTTATCAGTCTGAGAGGATTAAGGACTAACTGTACTTATGCCAAAAAGAAAAATGAAAGCAAAAGGGGAGGCTGAAGGCTGCCTTGTAAACCAACATATTTAGTACATATACCAGTATTAAAATGCCTTTGGGTAGTGCTTTTTAATGTTCAAATCCTAATTCTGTGTGTTCATCTTACTGATCTCATGAGGTTGCTAGTATTTCCATTTTGTAAATGAGAAAACCGAGGGAGGCATATAACAGTTAAGTGACTTGTCTGGTTTTAGTCACTCAACAACTATTGAGCCACTGTATGCCAGGCACCATGGTGGGTGCTGGTGATCCAGAGGATGGGTGGGACAGGACAGTCCCTGCCCCGTGCAGCTGATAGCTTCATGGTCACCACTTCATGCTAAGTGGACAGATGGCAAAGGAAATGATGGCTTCCAATTACTGGTCCCGTGAAAGATCAACACCAACAATGGAACTTGACCAAGTTCAACATTTATTTAACTCCTCAAGTTTACCTATGCTACTTGCTTGATCTTTTCTTTCATTTGAAATTTCATGGCGGCTCACATGTCTTCATGATGCCCCATCGAAAGCAGGTACTTAATGAATCCTTTCTTTGCATTGAGTATCATGTTTCTTTTGTTGACCTTCTGCCTTTTGCTTTGGGTTGATAATGTGCGAAGCGCTAGGAGGAGCAAGAGAACTAAATGACTCATCCTTTGCCATCGCAGTGAGGCAAGTCATACCTAGATGTAGAACAAGGCAGTGTTAGAAGTGTGTGTGGCTAAGCATATGTGGGTCTGCACATATATGGACATCATAAAGCATTGGCACGAAGCAGTGATAGGAAGGTGCTAATTTTGCAGTATAAAAAAATACCGTAAGTGGGAAAGCAGAACTAAACAAAACAAAAACAGAGAAGAGATCAGTAAAAGCTGGAGTTATCAAGTGACCCAGTAAGTTTTGCTCCCCCAGGAATCTGAGTATCTGTGGGGAAGTCAGACTCCTAAAATGTGAGCGCTGGAAGGGCATTTCAAGGATTATCTGTCCATCACCCTCCAGGTGAGAAAAAGAACATGCAGAGAGGTTGGCTGAGGTCACAGAGCCAGTCTGGGATGGAAACACATTTTGAGCCATGTCTGGCTCTGCATGGAGAAGCCAGTGAAAGAAAATGCAAGGAAGTGGGCTCGAAAACCCCCCTGTCTGGGGCCCAGGGAGGGTACGCTTCCCTGTAACCTCACGCATGGAGCTGAAGCAGTGTCTCTCCTAATGCTCACAGGAAAAAGAGATCAGAGGCCCAAAAAAGCTACCAAGTAATTAAAAAAAGAAAAAAAAAAAACGGCATGACATAGCTGAGTTTAAGAATATGACATCTTTTGGGCGCCTGGGTGGCTCAGTCGTTAAGCGTCTGCCTTCGGCTCAGGTCATGATCCCGGGGTCCTGGGATCGAGCCCCGCATCGGGCTCCCTGCTCGACGGGAAGCCTGCTTCCCCCTCTCCCACTCCCCCTGCTTGTGTTCCCTCTCTAACGGTCTCTCTCTGTCAAATAAATAAATAAAATCTTAAAAAAAAAAAAAGAATATGACATCTTTTGTTTAAAGCACTGCGTTTGTTTGCACTTTTTTCAGATCTACTAAAAATTTGATCATTTTGTCCTAACCCCTCTACCTCAGGGCCTGATATTCAGAAGATGCTCAGCATTGTTACATTATTATCTTCATAGTAATGACTCACATAGCAAGTCTGGTGGGCCCTCATGGTAGGGGTTATTTTTCAGGCAAGTGTCCAGGCAGAGCAAATATCTTAGGATAACTTGCCTATGGACGATTAAGGTGAAAACATTTGTATACTAGTAAAAACTTCAAGATAGTTCCTACTCATCTATAAAAATGTAACAGATGAGGTCATGAAGGAAAGCAGTTTGCAAAATGTAAAGTATTTACAGCTATTTGGTGTATTTATTAATCATAGTAACATATTTATGTAATATATATTTATTATCTTATAAGTGTTACTATAAATTTAAATTTGCCTTTAAATTAATCAGATGAGCTGAGAAAGTAGCTTATAATTCCCACAGAACAGGTAGTTTCAAGACAAGAAAACTATCCACATTTTAGGCCTCCATACATTTCAGAGTTGTCTTTTGTCTAATGACCTTGAATGTGACCCCTTTAAATGATTCTTTCACCCATGGCCACACAGTAACATAAAAGGCACAAGGCCGACAGCCTGGTCAGACCATCGGGCCAGTCTCAGGAAGAAGAGCAGTCTCTGGACCTCACATCTTCCCCACAGCGTCAGCATCTGGAAGGTAACACATGGTGTGGCCTTCAGGGAGTGAGCCTGGGTTTGTTGATTTTGACCAACCTAATGGCATGTTTGGTTTCTTATATGTGTGATGGAATTTTAAAATCTACACATCCCGGCAGTTAAATTTACACACACATACACACACACACACCTTTTTTTTTTTAAAGCAAAAGTGGTATTTTTAGGGCCCTAAAAATACTCGATAGATCTTGTTCTGGGGGAGAAGGTTGAGGAACCCCTTCATTAGTATGGCTTACTTACTTGACTAGCTACTTTCCCTAGAATAGCCCCAGGGCTTTGGACCCTGCTCATGAAGAGCTGACCCAGGTAGGGAATCTCAGAGCAGACCCTGGGTGGGTGCGGGGGGCTACACAAGGATGGGGGGTGGGCTGAAGGGTGGAGGAAGAGGGTTACTCAGCGTTGGGATGGACACAGTTGGGCCTCAGCACTTTGAGGCTCTGCCTGCCCTGTGGTGTTGCCAAGCCCCACACCCTTGCAACCCACTCCTATTCCCCTTCTCTTTTTTTTTTTTCCCCAGACATATTTCCTTTTCAATTCCCTAAATTATAAAATAGAACTCAATTTCTTGGAACATTATGGGAAAGACTAAAAGAAAACTATAAGCCCACCCAAATGGAATATTTTTTTCCTTTGGCCTTTGTAACATTTTCATCTTTTCAAACCCATTTCATGCTTATGTTCAGACTCAAACTAATATCTGCAAAAGGATGAATTAGGCAATTATTATGACCCTGATTTAACACTATCAACTAAGATAACATTTCCCATTGATTTTAAGCTCTGCCTTCAGGCTCCTTATCTTCCTAGCTCATTCTCCCCATGCTACACTTCCATCAGTCTCGGGCAGATGTGTTCCAACTAAGGACTTACTCCACCAAGCAGGATAGGGGAAGGGTCCATGGATTATTAATTACCTACTTGAATCTAATTGTTGGACCTGCTAATCTCCATGGAGCTTGCACATATCACGTTCCTCTCAAATTCCTCAAGTATTCTGGCTCACCTCTTGACTGCTCCCAGAGAATGGTTAAGAAAGAAAAACATCCCCACCAATGAATTACCAGGACTTGGGGAAATCCTTCCCCATTATAATCTTCATCACACCACAAAGTTCCACATCGCAGGTGACAGGAGCCCCACTCCCTGCACTGACCTGACCAGCCTGCTCTCCCAAGGACCCACAGGCACAGGGGGATTGGACGGCTCCCCCACCTCTACCCTGGGAGTGTTCCTGGACAGTTCAGCTAAAGTTTCCCACCCTGCTGTAACAGAGCCCTTGGTGAAAGGCAAAATCTCGTGAGCTCATGAATATTTGCACTAGCATGAGGCTGACCAATGACCTCAGGAAAAAAATCTTCCGTAATTCCCAAAGCCTAATTTGAATTTTTATGAGAAGGAGGTCAATTATTTTGCGCAATTATCATTTTAAATTCATAGAACAGATGTCAAATGATTCTCCATTCCCAAAATTACTCTTTTTCTTTTGTAAATCTTGTTTTGCAGCCTGATACTGGAAACTAAGCTGTGACCCCCAAAAGATTCATAGTAAAACTGAATCTGAAAAACAAATCTGCTCCAATTCGGGGGGAGATGGCTAGTTAAGGAAGGAGAAGTTGGTGTTACATGGAGCACTGTAATAAATGGACATGAAGAACATGCTCAGATTAAAAAAACAAAACAAACAAACAACATTTTCATGGAGCCCAGCAACATCTCAGGAGTGACTTGGGAGCAAATTTTTTTTTTAAACATTCTGAAGACTTTAGATTCCCTCTCCCGTGTTCTGCTCATCCCACAAATGTCCAGTTGTTCTAAGTATTTGTTACTCCCTTCTTTCTCTAAACTTTAAAGATAATGGAGGTGGGGTTCAGGAGACGGCAGGGACAAAGAGCATGAAGACACATAGATCCCAAGGGAGCTTGAGGAGGCATGATGGTCTCAGAGGACACAGAAAAGGACTCAAGCCACCAAAACCAAGCCTGATCCCTGTCACGAGGTTGCTAAGGATGCCCTTATCCATAACTAAACTTTTGCCTTTTATCCTAAATGCACTAGATTCTTCTAGTTTAAAGAAGTGTGAATTTGAGGAATTTGTCCTTTCTGATGGTGAACCGTCAGCAGACATTACTATTCTTTGCAAATATTTAAGAACGTTTACCCTCCAAGATTGTCTTTAGTTGAAATTTCTGTAGCCTCAGAACCAGAGTGAAACTATCAGCCTAACAGATTTTATGTAGTCCAGGACAATCTTAGTTGCCAGGATCGGGACTGCCAATCATGACAACTTCAGCAGGCCTGATGCTCAGATTCAGTAATCACCACCCAACTCACTCTGGGACTGTCCTCCTCTCCCCAGATCCTGAGTAACTTGGTGATGGAGGACCTCCTGCCAACCCTTCAGACAGACCTTCTGCCCAAAATGAAGGGGAAGAAGAACGACAGAAAGAGGGCCTGGCTCGGTGTAAGCCATGACTTTGCTACGCGACTGTGCGCCTCAAAATGAACATACCTTTCCCTTCTTTTTTTAGGGCAGTTTCTTTCTTTCCTTCTTTCTTTCCTTTCTTTCTTTCTTTCTTTCTTTCTCTCTCTCTCTCTCTCTCTCTCTCTCTCTCTCTCCCTCCCTCCTGCGCTCCCTCCCTCCCTCCCTTCCTTCCTTCCTTTCTCTTCTTCTTCTTCTTTCGTTTTTTTTAAATAATTCCTTCCCTGGGTGGAGAACTGCCTACCTCGAGTCTGCTCAGTCTCACTTGCATGAGGACTAATCCAAACAGACTCAAACCTTGAAAGAAAAATCACAGTGTGCCTGCAGTCGTGTTTATGTTAAAATAATCTGTGATTAGCCCTTCTCCCTCTGCTTGGCTCGGGCCAGTGGGCCAGCGCTCGCACATGACAGAGCCCCTGATTTCTGTGCTGTTCTCTGTTACAGCTCCTTGAGGAGGCCTACAACCTGGTTCGGCATCAAGTTTCAGAAGGATTAAGTGCCTTAAAGGAGGAGTGCCGCTCTCTGACGAAGGGCCTGGAGGGAACCATCCGTTCGGACATGGATCAGATCGTGAACTCAAAGAACTTTTTGATTGGAAAGATCAAAGGTCAGTGAAGATAATCCACGCTCCTACAGCTCAATGAGCTGTGCGTGTAGGGCTCCACCATGTAGTCAGAATTCATGATTTCAGAGCACGACTGAACTGACGGAATTGGGAAGAAGTGATAACAGGTGTAAAGGGGATATGCAAGTAAGGGCCTGGACCTTCCCAAGGAGACTTCGGTGACGCAAAGTGGAGGAGAGTTTGCTTCTTGCCTGTGGTGCCCGCGTGTTCTGACACGGCCCCTGCCCTGTTGCAGCACTTCTTAACGCTCATTGTATTGGCTTCTACACGCGCCCCTTCTCTGCCATAAGCTCTCTAAGAACAGGACCATGTGGCCCCTGTTTCACTCAGGCACACCCAGGGCCTAGTACCATGCCTGGTATATTCCGACTCTCAGGGAATACTTGAATGAGTGAATAAATGGATTTTCTTTTCACAAGAAGAAAATTGGCTTAGAGTTGGTAAATGTAGATTCTAGTCATAAGTGCAGCATTGGCCTGTCAGGTGTACTTGGGAAGGTCACTTGACTTCTATGTGCCTTAGTGTCCTCCTCTGTCATCAGGAGGGGCCCTGAGAGGGAGGTCTGCCAACTGTGGCCCCAGACCCAAATCGGGCCCGCTGCCTATTTCTGTAAATAACATTTCATCGGGACACAGCCATGCCCGTTCATTTATGTATCGTCTGTGGCTGCGTTCATGCTTCAAGGGCAGAGTTGAGTAGTTGGAACCGAGACCTCCTGGGCCGCAACGTCACGAATGTTCGCGATGTGACTATTGACAGAAAAATGGCTGCCTGTGCCCTCACAAGAGGCCTGAGATGGCCTCTAAGGAATTCTACAGGATAACATGTTAAATGTTAATTCCTACATCCCAACAAGCACAGCACACCGAATGTCATGGTTCCTCTGCAATTGTTTATCAGCAATCTTATATTGTCGATTTTCAGAGTCTTCACTCACTTGCTCATTTGCTCGCTCACTCGCTAAAAAAATACGTACTAAGTGCTTTCTGAGCAAGGTGCTGGAGCTTTAGCAGTGAACAGGGGACCCAGTTCCTGTACTCAAGAGACTTAGAAACTGACAGGGGTTGTCTGCTTGGTGGATTATCCTCTGCCCTTCAGGCCTCGTTCACACTGCAGCCCAGCTCCCCTCTGAGCCCTTCCAGCCGGTTCTTCTGCGAGAGAGTAGAGAGGAGGCATGCCTCTAGCAAGGATGTGCCTGTTTCCGTGCATGACTGTTCATGTGGTGCCTTCTGAGGCACATAAATTAACCTAAGCGTTATGTCCTTACTATTATCCATTCCTCCGTTAGCACAACTGATCTAGAATTGACTATACTGAAGTGCTTATACAACCTAAAACTGCCAGCACGCAACTCCTGAGCCCACGTTCCAGGGAGCTGGGCCTCACTGGGCCTCACTGTGGCCATTCTCCTGGCCCGAATTCAACCATTTTCTCTCTCTCTCTGTGGCTCCAGTATATCCCACATAAGATGGAAAAGCACTCTGCCCTATACTAGTCTTTGTTTCCTAAAAGGATCTTTGAAAGGAAGTCACGATCAAGTCTTTTTACAAGGGAATATCAAAAACACATTTTAACCGGGCCTCTGGTTCTCCACCTTTAAAACAATAAAGTACAGTTGAGCCTTGAACAACATGGGTTTGACCTGCACATGTGCACTTATAGGTGGGTTTGTTTTTTTTTTTTGGATAAATTCAGTCCAGTACTGTAAATATATTTTCTCTTCCTTAGGATTTTCTTGGTAACATTATATTTTCTCTAGCTTTTGTTTGTTTAAAGATTTTATTTATTTGACACAGAGAGAGAGAGAGTGCACACAAGTAGGCAGAGCGGCAGGCAGAGGGAGAGGGAAAAGCAGGCTCCCTGCTGAACAGAGAGCCCGATACGGGGTTCGATCCCAGGATCCCGGGATCGTGACCTGAGCCAAAGGCAGACACTCAACCGACTAAGCCACCCAGGCACCCTTCTCTAGCTTATTTTATTGCAAGCATACAGTATATAACACACACAACATACAAAATATGTGTTCGTCAACTGTTTATGTTATGGGTACGGCTTCTGTTCAACACAGTAGGCTATTTAGTTTTGGGGGAGTCAGAAGTAATACACAGATTTTCAATGACACAGGGGGTGGTCAGCACCCCTAACCTCGGCATTGGTCAGGATCAACTGTATACTTCAGACTGCATCAATAAAGGGCTTTGGATTTTGAAAGAATTTGGGGAGTATTAAGCAGTGATCTTTCCATTTCCTCCCACATGACTCTTGAGAGTCAAGCAACCAATCTTTAGTCCTGCCCCACAATATTTATTCATTCAATAAACATTTATCCTGCTCCTACTGAATACAAGGGCTACAAGGATTCAACGAAGACAACATGATTTTACAACAAGAGGATATGAGGCATGTTGCAGATTCTGAAACAGCAGGGAAAAAATGGGAAAGATGCCATAAGAGAAGCAGGAACAGAGGACACTGTGGTTCCCAGCCAGGAACTATTTCAGCTTCAAAAAACACTGTGGGCTCCTTATAAAAATAGCAATGTTTTTGTGTCGGTTGATGGGAAAAAAGGATGATGCCAACAGGTGGGACAAGGGCTCACAGTCCGGGAGCGCTTCCCGAGTGCCACATACGGTTCCAAGCATCCGAACACAGTAAGCCTGCTTCATCGTCACCCCAACCCCCAGAAGTCATGCGTCCCATGATCTCCACCTCCCAGATAAGAACACCAAAGCGGAGATTAAGGAACTTGGCCAGATTCCAAAACTGAGTCAGGCTCCAAACCCCTCTAATCCCAACACTTTCCGTCTTCGTCCCTGTGCTCCCTAACTTCTGGATGAGTTTATGAATCCGTGTGTCACCGAACAGTATTCATCACAATGGCGTCTCGACATGCCTGGAAGTCAGCAGAGCGTGTCCATGTGGGGTGTCGAATGTATTCCAACCAGAAGGAAGCACCAGCAGGCAGCTCGCAGCTCAGGGGGCTGCATGGTGGTGCCAAGGGCATTCGGCCGTCCGAGTGGGTGAAGCGTGTACTGGGTCTTGAAGAGGTGAGTGGGTTGTTCACAAGCAGAGGTGGAGGAAGGAAGGCCCAGGGCAAAGGAGCACTGAATGAAGGCACTGAGAGGAGGCTGCAGCCCCTGCTGGTACACAGACATCAGTGGGAAACAGGCAGAGGCGAGCAGGGTCTCCACCACCCCTGCTGGAGTCCATTTCCTCCCCGCTCAGTGGGTGAAACCCGCCATCCACCACTAAATCTTTACTGCATGTTACCTGTGTTCATGATTATTCTGAAATTTCAGTCAGGTGCTTTTCAAACAGTCCTTCTCTCCGAGTTAATTGATAAATAATTCATTTATTCTCCCGACATGCAATTTTGCATTTTGGTACCAAGCAAGTCATTTTTAGAAGTCATAGATTGTTTCATATTTAAATCATACAATCAAAAGGGTTTTTTTTTCCCTAGCAATTCTATGACCTCTTTAATATTTTATATACCAAATATTTGTGAATTATTCATAATATGAATAGTCATCTCAGATTCTCCCAAGTAAGAGGCAGTCTGATCCTCCATACCTGTGAAATATTTCTGCAAACTGAAAGAAGAACGTGCCCATTCATCTCACTCTAAGCACCTTATTTGCCAATAAAAGATTAAGAAATAACTTGAAGTATAGTCCTCGATCTGCAAATTAGGGTTTGACCTTGGTCAAGCCCTCGGACATCTCCAGGCCTCTGATTTTCCATGTAATAAAATGGATTGGACACCCAGATATGCTTGTCCTTCCTTTCTCGGTTCTGTGGTACGGTGCAAGGGCCATGTGACTTACCAGAGCCACAAAGCTAACCTTCCAGTGTACAGAGCAAGCTCAATCCTTTTCCAGCTTAGCCTTCCCTCACTAGATCTGCTTTTAAACCTGGCTAATCTGACCTTCACCTTAGCACTTTAAAAAAAATGCAGATTTCCACGTCCTATCCAGACTTCCTGAATGAGCATCTTTACTATGCTCTTCCTCTTTTACTTTTTTTTTTAAATTTTATTTATTTGTTTGACAGAGAGAGACATAGAGAGGGAACACAAGCAGGGGGAGCAGGAGAGGGAGAAGCAGGCTTCCTGCTGAGCAGGGAGCCCAATGCCCGGCAGACGCTTGGCAGACGCTTAACGACTGAGCCACCCAGGCGCCCCAATGCTCTTCCTTTTTTAAATCAAAGGGCAGGATTTGCCCCCAGGAAGTGTGGTTACATTTCTTTCATCCCTCTTTATGATTTTTCTGTGCTCTCTATATTTTTGTCACTGTGCATGTTTTCCGTGATTATCGGGTAAAAAAATAGCCTTTTTTAAAAAAATTGGGTGTGGGAGTGGGAGGTGGGGTGGTGTTTGTTTTGAATGAAATTTGTTTCTGTTTGCCCAAGAAAAGACTGTGTCTGAGTTTTAAAAACGTCTCTTGGGGGGGGGAGAGGGGAATTGAATTCTATGAGCTGATTAACTCTTAGAGAAATTAATTAAAACTTAATAAACTGTTATATACAAATATTGAATCATCATGTTGTACACCTGAAACTAATATAATGTTATACGTCAGTTATACCTCAATTTAAAAACTTAGTAAGTTGTGTTTTTTAGAAGACAAATTATGCATATATAACAATGATGCTGATAATAAATAGGTGGATCATCAGCATTTTCTGTTTTCTATTAGGCATTGCGTGATCATAGGGACCACACAGAAAAATGCACTTCATCCCAGGGCAGAGGAAAGCTTGGGGAAGGGAGGGATTGTTTGTTTCAATTCTAAAAACATCTAATGGTTTTCCATTCTGGTGAATACTGGCCTGGGACTCTCTGTGCTGGTCTGTCTTGCCCGTTTGAGCTTGCCTGGGTTGTTAAATGGCTCTCTGGGGCACTGCCCACCCCTGGCCTGGCTCCAGGGACTTTGAACCCAATTTTGCCCATAGTAAGTGATGGTTTTCTGCCTTTTTCCTATCTCAGCCATGGTGGCCCAGCCCGCAGAAAAAAGCTGTGCGGAAAGTGTGCAACCATTCTTGGCGTCCATTCTGGAGGAGCTCATGGGGCCGGTGAGCTCAGGATTCAGTGAAGTACGCTCACTCTTTGAAAAAGAAGTGGATGAACTTAACCAGAACTTTCAGACCACCAAAGACAATGCCCAGCTTAAGGAGGTGAGATATGGAGCCAAGGAACTGAGTGTGAATGGCCTGCCTGGGGCTGCCTTTCTCTTGGGCCTTTATCTGCATTTGTGCATTCTTTCCTTTCCTTTCTTCCTCCCTCCCCCCACTTCCTTCTATCCATTCATCTATTTCTTTCATTCAGCCAGCCACCCCATTTATCTATCCGTTCACCTGATTTCCTTTATTAATGTTTTTCAGGTTGCAAAACTAATAATGTGCTTGTGCAAGTGAAACAATATATATATATAGACAAAAAATATATATGCACAAAATTGATCACCCATGATGTAGAAAAGAGGTTAGGAAAGAGGTTCGAAGCCGGCGGCCAAGAAAGAATTCTTGAGACATCTTTGGTGCAAAAAGGTGGTTTTGTTAAAGCACCGGGGACAGGACCCGTGGGCAGAAAGAGCTGTGTGGGGATCATGAGGAGTGGCCCATTATATATTTTCAAGTTGGGAGGGGGTTAGAGATAGCATAAGTCTCTGAAGAATTTTGGAAGCAAGGTTTCCAGGACCTTGAGGGGGCTAGCTATTGTTGGGAAAAGGTCATTTATTTCTGTCTAATAAAACCTGAATCATGAGACCTTCAGATGTATATCAGTAGGTCATATGCTTGGGGGATGATTGCCAACATGTATCTTGGCGGAGTATAGGTAAAGAAAGTTTCCAAAGGAATTTTTATATATAAAAGTAGACTTACAGGATCGTGGAGCAGGGGGTCGGGCTAGGATTGTCTTTCGCCCTTAACAAAGCATCAACATCGGGACAGTTGAGTCCCTAGAGGAATGTCACTCTGCCTGTTTCAAGGACTTGTCAATGGGCTGTAGGTAGTAAGGAAATTAAATATTTTTCTTCTGCTTTTGTTTCCCACATCAACCCATGCCCACCCCAACTCCTAGGCTACCTCCACTCCCAACTCGCTGAATTAATTAATATAAATAACTTAGAATGTGTTTTCACATACTTGTTTCTTGTTTATACAAATATAGAAACATATATCCTCTTGATATAAATTTTGTTTGTTCATTTGTTTCCAAAAATATAGACTTGTGATGAAAACAATGTTTCTCAAAGTGTGGTCCCCAGACCAGTAGTATCATCAGCTGGCTGTTAAAAATGCAAATTCTCAGGCCCCTACCAACAATCTACTGAATCGGAAACTCTGGGGGTAGGGCCCAGCATTCTGTTTCACAAGGCCTCCCAAGGACGTGAGGTACCCTAAAGTTCAGGAATCACTTACATAATGTGGCAGCTTGGTTTATACTTGACATATCACTATCAGTCCCTGGATAAAACCAGATACCTCTCTTCCCCCCCCTTTCTTATTTATTTATGCATACATACACATGTAATTATACATAAACAAGACACACTTTATAAATATTTTCAAGTTCCTTTTCGCAATCTTTTTTAAAACTTGACTTTACTGTCCCTCTTCCCCTCTCCCCCACTACCCACATCCCTTCAAGTAACTAGTGTTAACATCTTAGCATATACCGTTCTGTACTTTTCTCCCTGCTTATACAGCTATTAAAACATACACACTTTTTTAAAGATTTTATTTATTTATTTGACAGAGAGAGAGACAGCGAGAGAGGCAACACAAGCAGGGGGAGTGGGAGAGGGAGAAGCAGGCTCCCCGCTGAGCAGGGAGCCCGACGTGGGGCTCGATCCCAGGACCCTGGGACCATGACCTGAGCCGAAGGCAGACGCTTAACGCCTGAGCCACCCAGGCGCCCCTAAAACATACACATTTACGGGCTGGTTTTTTTTTTTTCCAGATTGTTTGCTCTTTAAAAAATGGGATTGTATTACAAATCCTACTCTTTATCAGTGTTCTCATTCAAAAAATACCTCGCGAAACTGTCTTCAAGTTAGCTGCTCTAGCTCTAAATCATTCTTTGTAATGGCTACATAATATTTCATGTCTGAATGCACCATGATTTATTCAGCTATCCAAATGTTGCTGGCATCATGGACAAAGCTGTAATAAATAACCTTGTTACGTATATTATACTCTGATGCTTTCATTCCTGTGGGATAGATTCCTAAGGCAGGATGGCTACATTGAAAGGTGGCTTTATTTCTCCTGTTAACAGATGTTACCATTTGCATTTCAAAAAAAAAAAAAAAAGGACTTAAATTTTACATTTCTGTCCATTGTGTATGGCAGAGGACTTTCTTCCCCATATGCTCGTCAGCAGTAGGCAGTACCACCTCTTTAAACTTCGGCCCATCTGATAGGAGCAAAGCAGCAGCCCATTTTTCCTCTCTTGTCTGCTTGATTGTTATTTCTTTAAAACAGATACATTTCATATTGTGTGAGGAGGGACAAGTTTGACCTTGTGCGTTTGATCATTAATTCTACCTCGGTGCGGCTCCCCACAACTCACTTCTCAAGGAGAGTGATGTGTTCTCTTTACAAACACAATGAGAACGGGCCCTTTAAGAATTCCTATTTAGAGACACCTAGAACTTGAGCTTTGTCCCTTTTCTGTGACTTGAAAATCGGACAGCACAGCCTTTGTGATTCACACTCACCCTGTGTTACTCCCCAGTTCTCCCTGGGCGTCCATTTTTAGCACCTGTCTATCTTCTCTTTCGCTGCCCACCCACCTGTTTCTTCTAGATGTCTGGTATTCAATTTTTAAAATTATTTGAAAATCATCTTGGAAAATAGAAGGCATTCTGTTGGGAACAACACTCACGATGTGAGCGTGTGTTGGTAAAACCTGACGTCTTTAGCAGAGGAGGCCCATTGCTGCCCTCTTGTTGGAAGCCCTGTGGCTTCATTGCTCGTGCAAACCAGAGGAGGAGGAATCCCAGTTTTTTATCTGGATGCCTCTCCCAGGCCAGGCCTCTTCCTACCACCCACCTCCCCACCTACTAGCCCCATAGAGAACCTACGGTGGAGGAAGCCCCCGTGAGCCCTGACAGAGCCTCAGAGAACTGTGGAGATTCTGGCCTCATTCCCAGAGTCCTGGGGTTCAGGGGCATCCTGACCCCATTAAAGGAGGCTTTGGAGGTCCCGGGGGCCCAGCAGCAATTCCAGATGCCAAAAAGCCTGCCTACCTAGTTCTTGAGCTCTGCAAGTCGGAGCCCCAAGTCCATCAAGAACTAAGATTGTAGCCCCTTCAAATGCTTTCCTGGGTCCTCCCATCATCCAGGGGGTTCCTCTACCAGTCTCTGCCCTAGCGATAGAGCTGCCCCAGGGACCCCTGAAGGAGGCAAGTAAGACAGTTGAAATGTCACAGATGCAGTGATTTGAGAAGTGATTCACTCTACTAACGTACGTTTGATCATTTAGAATTTACGTAATACGGAATATGTGTGTAATCCTGCTCCTGAGTCTGAAGGTATTTAACGTTTCCCTTCACCAAAATGCAGCATCTAGACCGGCTCATGAATCTTCCACTGGATTCCATGAAGATGGAACCTTGTTACAGTAAAGTCAACCTGCTTCAGGAGCGTTTGCAGGATCTCAAGAGCCGCTTCCGATTCCCCCACGTGGATCTGGTGGTCCAGAGGACACAGAACGACATGCAGGAGGTGGGAGCGGCAGGGGCCTCCGTGGGGGGTGAGGATGGAGACAGCAGAGAAACAAGGGCTGGCCAGCGAGGCTGGGGTGCTGGTGCAGCTCTGGGCAGTGGGGCCCTTCGCAGTCATCATCATGTTGAGTTGAGGACGTCCTTGGTCGTTCCAGCTGGCTTCATCTTTCTTCCATGTTAATGAACATCAGAAAGAAAAAAAAAATTTTCAGGGAAATCAGGTAGCATTAACTGATAATTACTTGATTTGCCAAACCAGCGCTTTTAACCTTGGCTGCACATGAGAATCATCTGGGGAGCTTTTGAGAAATGCTGACGTCTAGGCCCCACTCGCAGGAATTTTCCCCCACTCGCCTTCCCACTACTTCTAATATGAAGCTAGAACAGAGAACTACCTGCTTACGTTAATTCCCTAACCCGGTTAAGAGTAAATCAATCAATCAATCATGGCTTCATATTTGGATCTCTTGGGTCTACTTGATAGGTTCCCTTTTTTCCCCCACACAAGAAACTTTTTCTCCAGGAACAAGCACAAATTCTTTCCTTACTATAGTGCTTTCTAAATGAAGAAGGGTGTGATCACTGAAGCCAAAAGAGCACAGTTCTATTTCAGGGGTGTTCAGGGGTGTTCAGGAGTGTTCAGGGCCACTCAGGGACCGGGCACTGTGCCAGGCCCCCCTTCAGAGACAGATGCTTAGATTAGGTCACTATCGTGTTGAGAGTGCTGGACAAAGCTATGTGTTCATGCTTTGGGATCAGAGGCTTGGGGAAGAAAGGAACGTTTGTTCCTTATAAGTTATAGGGCGGATTAAGTGATACACCTTATTATCTAACCTCTGAGTTGTGAAGGATTAAAGACGGACTGGGGGAACAAAATTGGGCAACAGTTTAACAGAAGTCCCTTTTTGGTAATACTGAACCCTGGTGAAACTGATACAGGTATGAGTGCAGAGAATAAGAAATCGCAGTCATTTCCGTTTCCTAACCCATGAGCACATCAGCCGCTGTGCCCACCAAGCCCCAACCCTGCCTCCCTTCCAGCCTGGCAGAGCAAGGAAGAGAAGTGAGGGGGTAGGCTAAGTGCAGAGAGGTGTGCTGGACTGGTTTGCATCCCCCAAAAGCGGCAGTGCACGATTAAAGCCGCCAAGAAATAACTGGAGAAGCCTCCCACCTCCCTTTGTCAAGCCGGGGCTGCAGGAACCAGAGACCAGAGGAAGGGGCTGACCACAGGAGAGGGTGGTATTCTCAATCCCATGGCCTCCAGGGGTTTTGCAGCTCAGAGCATAAAAGGAAGAGAGGAGGGAAAAAATACGCATATGCATACATACATAGGTGTGTGAGTGTGTGTTATTCCCAGACTCTTACTGATCCCACTGTGGCCAGGTGCCTTCTATTTCATAACCCAGGTAGGGGGCTGAGGACCTGTTGCCCTGGGTGGCCCCAGAGTAGTGCCTGGGGGGGACTCTGATGGTCATCCCCTCCCTGCTCCAGGGTAGAGACCCCGGCCTCTGACCAGGCGCTGTTCTGTGTTGCTTTTGGTTTCTAGCTAATGGAGAATGCAGTATTCACTTTCGAGCAGTTGCTTTCCCCACACCTCCAAGGAGAGGCCTCCAAAACTGCAGTCGCCATCGAGAAGGTTAAGCTCCGAGTCTTAAAGGTAAAACCTTTCTCTCATTTGTGGGAAGCGTAAAACAAGTATGACCCCCTGCTTCTTTTGTTAAGTGGAAAATACCAAATTCTGTCCTTCACCCTCCCTGTTTGTAATCCTGCTCCCTTTCCCCGCCTGAAGTAGCAATGACTACCGCGCTACTAGGCCTCCAGCGTGACTCTCGTGCCTATTCTGCCATCTAGTGGCAACTCTAGGGACCACATGTCCTCGGGATTCTTGTCTGTCAGCTCGAAGTGACCTGTCCTTGATAGAGCAATTGCACTTGATATTTATTGGCATTCATAGCAATTGCACTTGACTGTCCACGCTAAGCAAAGCGTTGTGATAGATATTACACAAAATGTAAAAATAGGCAAGGCACAGTTTCCTTCTTCAAAGAGTATGCAATATAGTAAAACCCATTTAAATTAGCCAGCATTTTTTAGAAAAATCAAAATCTCCTGGCAAAAGAAATACTCTAAAAAAAAAAAAAAGACACCTGCCATATGAAATTTTTTTTTTTAAGACTTTATTTGAGAGAGAGAGAGAAAGCACGAGTCGTGGGCAGAGGGAGAGGGAGAAGCCGACTCCCCGCTGAGCAGGGAGCCAAATGTGGGGCTTGAACCCAGGACCCTGAGACCATGACCTGAGCCGAAGGCAGACGCCCAAATGACTGAGCCACTCAGGCGCCCCTGAAATTGTTTTTAATGTGCTTACTGCTTAAGTATTTATCAAAATGATTTTAATAATAGCAGCTTGCACATATATGGTCTATTTTTAAAGCTGTTTTGTTTTTAACCTCCCCTGTTTTGTTTGATCTTCACAAGGACTCGTGAGATAATTAGAATATGTCTCCATTATAGAGATGAGGAAACTGACTCACTAAGAGCTAACATGACTTACTTAAGCTCAACAGGCTACTCAATGGTGAGCCTAGAGCTAAAACAATTCTTAAATTTAGTCCACTAATTTCTTACTACCTATTCCCCTAAACAGTGCCTTGGAGCAGAAGATTAAAGTTCCACAGAGCCTAGGAGGTGGTCCCTGAATTTTAGACCTAATCTTAATACCTCACAGCAGTAGGAAACAATGGCAACCAAATCACTGAGATTAAAAGCAATATTTATGGGACACCCGTGTGGCTCAGTTGGTTAAGCATTTGCCTTCGGCTCAGGTCATCATCCCAGGGTTCTCGGATTGAGTCCCGCATCGGGCTCCTTGCTATGCAGGGAACCTGCTTCTCCTTCTGCCTGCCACTCCCCCTGCTTGTGCTCGCTCTCTCTCTCTCTGACAAACAAATAAATAAAATCTTTTAAAAAATAAAAGAATAATAAAAGCAGTATTTATTATGGGAACACAAGTAATAATGAACTTGCAATTGGGAAGAAAAGATAGTATCGATGTCAGTATCACATCCAGTGTCAGGACACTTAGGACCTCCCTGGACAATCCATTTCTTCTCTGGACACTTTTTACTGCAAGAACATGCTTCCTAATGTGAAGCCAAAGTTGACACTGTTGGTGATTCTAGTTCTCTTCTCTCTGTTCATGTCCTTTTTCCACACAGTAGCCTTTGGTTGTTTGAATAGAGCCATAATCTTGCCCAAAGTTATCATCTTCAGTAGAAATGCCTTCACCTCATGAACCATTCTTTGTTTGGCCTGACCGTTCTGCTCACATGCCTGTGATTGTGTTCCAGAGCATCGGCGATCCTCTTAAAGGGTTGTCTAAAACCAAACTCGAGTCTCTAGGTTTGAATATTCCATGCAGAAAAGTGAATCAACATCTTTCTTGGTCTGGATACTAAACTTCTTCGGTTAATATGCCACAGTGTTAAGGTAGCTATGAGCCAGACCCTCCCTTCCTTTGTGGAAATCATTATAGTCCACTCATCCTGCTTCTCGGATATAAAGTGAAGGAAGTAGATGATCTTGGCTCCTATGGACCCACCCAGGACAGGAGTGATGACATACAAACTCACCCCCCATTTCTGTCCCCAGCTTCTTTATAATGCAGAAGTTACTGTTTTTTTGTTTTGTTTTGTTTTTAAAGATTTTATTTATTTGACAGAGAGAGACACAGCGAGAGAGGGAACACAAGCAGGGGGAGTGGGAGGGGGAGAAGCAGGCCTCCCGCTGAGCAAGGAGCCCGATGTGGGGCTCGATCCCAGGACCCTGGGATCATGACCCGAGCTGAAGGCAGACACTTAACGACTGAGCCACCCAGGTGCCCCCAGAAGTTACTGTTTTGATCTTGCCTCAGTTTCCCTATCTGTAAAAGGGGAGGGTAAGATGGGTCATTAATAGCCATACCCTCCACCCAAAGTATGAGAGAATTGCATAGCAAGATCTTTGAGACCTTGGAAACACCGTAAATGTCCTCAGAAATAGGGGGGAAAGCGAGACAAGTGAGTGACTGAGTTTTTGTTTAAGCAAAAGTTAACAGATTGCAATGTTGCTATTTAGCACATGTTTCTATCTCTGTATTGACAGCAATATGATTATGATAGCAGCACCATCCGGAAGAGGATATTTCAAGAGGCACTGGTTCAAATCACACTTCCCACCGTGCAGAAGGCATTGGCATCCACGTGCAAACCCGTAAGAGGATGGGTTACTCCAGAGAGCCTGCTTTTATTGCTGTGAAGTTCAAGCAAGTTCTTTTGCTACAATGTGCTTGCAATCAGTAGACTAGACCAGGGAGGGGTCGGCAAACTTTTTCTGCAAATGGTCAGATAGTAAAGATTTTAGGCCTTCGTGGGTCGTACTGTTTTTGTTGCAACTTCTCAGCTCTGCTAAGTGCAAGAGCATACATTAACAATGGGTGCTTCTATGTCCCAATAAAACTTTATTTACAAAAGTAAGCAGCTGCCAGATTTGCCAACCTTTGGACTAGACAGAATCTCAAAGGTGATGATCTGACTTTGAGCCAAACTAAGGGTTGTCATAGAGCATCTGAGGACACCAAGTGCTCCTCGTCATAGTATAACTCATGGGTACCATCTGTCCTCTGAAACTTGACCACTACATCCAGGGAAAGACCGTAAGTCACCCGATTACAGAAGGATATTTTTTTCTTTTAATGTTTGTTTTGTGAAGTCAATGAAACAGAAACCATTTAAAGCTGCTACCAGTGACAGTCATGATTATGAAGGTGTGACTTGGTCTGCAGAGCAGAGCCATGGGTGAGCCACTTATGGAGGCAGGTCCAAGACCTGGGTTCAAGTCCTGGCTCCTCCATGTATTGGCTCTGGGGCCTTGGACAAGTCACTTTTCCTCTTTCTTGACCTAGATTCCATCTTCTAGAAAATGGAAATGATATATCTTGCAGTGCCTTTCTTAAGATAGAGGAGACTAAATTATTAATATTTGATGAGTGTTGACCATGTGTTAGACACTATGTTAAACACACTTTGCATGGATTATCTCAATAATTCTCATGACAACTCGAGGAGGAAGTATTATTTACATCCTCATTGTACAAATGGGGAAACTTGAGGATTAAGTAATGGGCCCAAAGTCACAGAGCTGGTAACCGCCAGAGTTTGAACTCAGCTCATATTTGCTGATAACAAGGTGTGCACTCAGTGAATAATATATACGACTGCTATTACTATTTCTACATTTCAGAAATGATCTATGAGCCTGGACATTTTCAGTGCCTTCTCCCTATTGGAGCAAATCATAAAGAGCTTATTAGAATTTCAAAAGGACTTTTGGGCAGCGTAGAGGGTCTCCAAGAATTGGAACATTAAAATCCTTGGCATAAGTTATTTTACTACAGAAATTTCTTTGGTTATTTTTATATTCTATAAATGCTTTTTTCTTTAGAGTCTTGGCATATCTAGTACCTGGCCTTTATTTCTGGGAGTTTGATCAAGCCACAGGAATAAAGAATCTGTCTATATGATTGTCCTTCCGCCATGTGCGGATGGAAAAGTTTAGCCGCCCAAAGGAAGACTTTGTCTACCTCTGGATGCGTCTGCACACAGACATTCTACTTAGGGTGTTTTCAATCCCAGAGGCAATTTAGGGGCCTCCAAGCCACTTCCTCCCAGAAGAAGAGAAGGGCAAAGAAAAGTCCCCCTTTCTTGTCTGTTCCCTTTTTTTTTTTTTTTAAGATTTTATTTATTTATTTGATAGAGAACAAGACAGTGAGAGAGAGAACACCCAGCAGGGGGAGTGGGAGAGAGAGAAGCAGGCTTCCCGCTGAGCAGGGAACCCGACGTGGGGCTCGATCCCAGGACTCCGGGATCATGACCTGAGCCGAAGGCAGACGCTTAACGACTGAGCCACCCAGGCGCCCCATCGTCAGTTCCCTTTTTCCACACATCAGCAGAGTTGTACCCAATCTATAAAATGCTCTTGGGATTTTTGAATCAAGAAAGATTGGTTTCTAAAGAAACTGAGACCCCAAGTTTTCAGTAATGAAGGATATGATTTCAGTGTCAAGAGATTTCTTAAAATCTGGATGTACAGAACGGATAAATTAAGGGATTATCTGCTCAACTGAAGGATTCTTTATTTTACTAACGTTATGTTTCCCTTGGTTCTTTAATCACAACTTCTTAGATCTGTGGTACTCAGTCCAGGGTGCCCATTGAAATTGCCTGGAGAATTAAAAAAAAAAAGAAAAGAAATTGCCTGGGGAGCTGTAAAAAAAAAATTCTGATTCCCCAAGACCCACCCTTAGGGATTCCAATTAAATTGCTCCAAGGAATTAAACATATGTCACAGTTTAGTCAGTTCAATATAGAAGACCTATGTTACAAAGCTGGACATGTCACAGTGGTATAAACATCCCTAGAAAATTGTTCCTTTCCACAAACTTATTTAGCTGTTTGAAATTTTTTTAAAGATTTTTTTATTTTAGAGAGAGAGAGTTGCAAGCAGAGGGGAGAGGCAGAGAGAGAGAGAATCTCAAGCCGACTCTGCACTGAGCCCAGAGCCCGACTCAGGACTCAGTCTCACGACCCTGAGATCACGACCTGAGCCAAAACCAAGAGTCAGACGCTTAACCGACTAGGCCGCCCAGGCACCCCTAGCTGGAAATTTCGAAGGTCTACTGTTTCTTCGGCAAACACATCCTGACTATGTATCAGATATGATCCAGGCACTGTGCCAGGCCAGCATTCCTGCCATCCGGGAGTTCGTAGGCTAGAGGTACCGGGCCTGCAGTGGATGAGCACAGCTGTAGCCTATGGGAAAGAGGACGGACCAGAGCTCCGAGCCGGGCGCCCAGCGCTGCTTATGGGGTCAGGGAAGACTCCCCAGAGTCATGTTTTCGCCCAGTCCTGAGGCAGGAACCAGGGAAATAAAGAGTGGGAGACCACCTAGGGATAGGAAAGGGTGTTGCAGACCTGAGCCTGTGGCCCTCACTTTGCAGAGGCAGAGAGAGGCATGGAGCCGTTACATGGCGGGCTCGGGTCCCCCAGGGAATCCAGGGCAGTGTCCAGCCTCCTGGCCAGTGCTCTTTCCACACAGTTCTCATCTGTGTGTCCGTCCTGCCTCACAGACCTGCTCAGGGTCCTGCAAGCTCACGTCTGTCCAATCTTTAGCTTTGCTCTGGGTGGGTATAAAGGGACCTCATTATGACCTGCTGTGATCTGGGCCTGGGCCCCCAAGTACTAGCACTGAGTTGCCTGCAGTGGTGGCTTCTGATCTCCTGCTGAAAATCCTGTCCCTTCAGGCAAAAGGCATCAAATCCCACTGCTAAAGCCCTTGCTCTTGGGGCCCTTTGAGCACTCTTAGCTGTAAGGATTACTGAGTTAATCACTGGCATGTGATTTGGTACATTTTGATCCCTATCCTGACCTCAAGCCATCTGGAAACCCTCAGAGAGCAGGAAGGGTTAAAGGATTATGCATCCTGTCTGGTTGTCTTAGAGGGAATCAATGACTGTCAGGGCCAGTTGGAGGGAAAGAGGAGAATGTTCCTGAAGAGTCTTTGACGAGAGAGTCTCCATACCCGGAAAGGGCCCCTTTCTAATACAGTTAAACATACATCTAGTCCAGGACCCAGCAATTTCACTTCTAGGTATACACTGAAGATAAAAAAGAGTCCTTAAATCCAAAAAAAAATCATGCACAGAAATGTTTATAGCAGTTATATTCATAACAGTTAAAAAATGAACAAATCTCAACACCATTGATAGGAGGATAGCTAAGCAGTTTTAGTTTATCCATATAATGAATGTCTTTTGTCAATAAAAGGGAATGAGCTACTGATATATGCGGCAACACGGATGAATCTTAAAGCCAAACACACAAGAATATGTGATTCAATTTGTGTAAAGTTCAAAAATTAGAAAAACTAGGGACACCCGGGTGGCTCAGTCGGTTAAGCATCTGCCTTTGGCTCAGATCCTGATCTCAGGGTCATGAGATCAAGCCCGGTGTCAGGCTCACTGCTGGACATGGAGCCTGCTTAAGATTCTCTCTCCCCTGGGCGCCTGGGTGGCTCAGTTGGTTAAGCGACTGCCTTCGGCTCAGGTCATGATCCTGGAGTCCCTGGATCGAGTCCCGCATCGGGCTCTCTGCTCAGCAGGGAGCCTGCTTCTCCCTCTGACCCTCCCCCCTCTCATGTGCTCTCTCTCTCTCTCTCATTCTCTCTGTCTCAAATAAATAAATAATCTTTAAAAAAAAAAAAAGATTCTCTCTCCCCTCCCCCTCTGTTCCTCCCCCCACCACATGTGTTCTCTCTCTCAAAAAAAAAAAAAATTAGGAAAACAAATCTGTTGTGACAGATATCAGAGTAGTGCTTATCTCTCGTTGGTGGTGTAGACTGGAAAAAGGCACAGGGTGTCGGAAATATTCTCTATCTTGATCTGGGTTGTGGTTCCATGGGTATAGTTATATATTTAAAACCACTGAGATGTACACATTGTGAGATGTGTACATTTCACTGTGTGTAAATGTGTGATGTACACATTGTGAGATGTGTACATTTTACTGTGTGTGACTTATACCTTGGTAAAGTACTGTTGGAGTTTAAAGGGGGAAAAAAGGGAAGAAGGGAACATTTTGGTTGTGATGGAAAAAAAGGAGGGCCTTGAGACCCACAGACCCGCAGACAGGGCCTTGAGATGATTAAAATCTGTGTTGTCTACACCCCTGAAGTACACATCGTGCCTCGGTGGCTGTCCAAGGAGGGGATCATGAGTGCAAGTCATGCTCCCTGTACCTTCTCTACAAACTGGCATCTCATGCCTTGTCCTCCGTCTCCCTATCTCTCACTGTCCAGGAGCTCCAGAAATATGAGCAGTTCATTTTTGCAGATCACACCAATATGATTCATGTGGAAAATGTCTACGAGGAGATTTTACATCAGAGCCTCCTTGATGAAACTCTGAAAGGTGAGGAAGATTTCCTTGGTACTGGAGGGAACAGCAGATACGGGGGAGGACCCCTCAAGGGGACCCAGGGAGGCCCGCTAGGTTTCTCAACAGGAATGAAAGGGGAAGAGGAAACCGCTACCGATTTGTTGGGGAGACAGAGAAGAGAGGAGAGAGAGGGATACTAACCTTGACTGAGAATCATGATCTGGCACACACTGTACTGGCCCCTTGGATATTATTTCTTTGAATTACAAATAAGAACTCCAGGAGACAGAAATTTCAAGCTTCATTTTTCACAGAAAACCGAGGTTTAGGGAGATTAAGGCTAGACTGGCTCATGAACATCTGTCTCCCTCCAGCTGCCCCAGACAGAACAAAGGAGAACAGCTGTTTTTAGCCACAGACTTCTGACCCCTCCCTGAGGCAGGAGGAGGTGATTCCGGAACAGGGGTTACCAGCTGCCTCCTCGGCACATTCCTCATGTCCTGTCCGCTGGCAGAAGCAGACCCAGGGCGCCGACACCGTACTCTGTGAATCTTGTTGGGACTCCAGCACCCACTGTCCTGTGGAGTTAGGCCCCTTGCTTGTGATGGGACCGTGGGCAGGACAGCCTTGATAGAAATCGGCTGGACAGGGCCATTCCCCAGAACCGTAGGCCTGTGTCTGGTCTCCACGGGTAAAGTGTTAGTATCACCAGAAACCCCCCACAAAGGAAACGAGCCAAGCACAAGCCCCAGTAGCTAATCCAACGAGATGAGAAATGTAAAGATGTCAGCACAGTGTCTGACAGGAAGGGCCCCCCCTCAAGCCCACACCATTCCCTCGTGGCACCTTTCCACCAGTTAGGAAAAGGCTCCCTTTCTCCAGGCACCAGGCAGCTCTCTGTCAAAAAAATTACCGTGATATACTGATTTTTATCAGAGTAGGATGCTCTACTGCTCGTTGCTGGAAAATTCTGCCAAACACATAAATCTATGCTGTCTCTGATGTGAGTGGCGCCCCCTTGGATAAGATACCGTTGGGCACTAGACAGCCTGCATAGCTCTAGTGGAGGCCTGTGGTCAAAAATGTCAGCTGCTATCGTTGTTATTGTTGTTTTGAGTCCTCTCAAGGCCTCTAAGACTGAGCTGGATGCACGTAGGTCTTCATTCTAGACGCTACAGGTCAACAGGGCTCTCTGCATCCTCAGTACTGAGTACCCAATACACATTCAGGACTGGACTATGAGAGGAAGCAGAGAAATGACAGGCCTGCCCCTGCAGCAGGGCCTCTATCGGTGATAACAGATGTTACTATTCTAGGTTGCGAGCTCCTTGAAAGCCAATCTTTGGACTCTCAGAGCCTGTCCCATAGTGGATGCCCAGTCTGCATCCATGAATGAGTGAAGGAATGAATGAAGGAATGAATGAAGGAATGAATGAATGAATGAATGAATGAATGAACATGACAGAGGTCCAGTGCTGAAGACGAGTGTGTGGGCTTTGGTCATGAGGGAAGGAGACTGGGAAGAGGGTGGCTATCAGCTGGAATTTGACATTGAGAGATTTGGGTAGCCAGAAAAGCTGGGAAGGGAGTTTGGCTTCTGGATAACATGGGAAAATCCAGGGTGGCCGGGGCCGAGAATCAATGTCATGTTCTGTTTTCTGGTCTCTGTCAGTGATAAAGGAAGCCGCTCTCCTGAAGAAACACAACTTATTTGAAGACAACATGGCCTTGCCCAGTGAAAGTGTGTCCAGCTTAACTGATCTAAAAACCCCTGCAGGGTCAAACCAGGCCAGCCCTGCCAGGAGGGCCTCGGCCATTCTGCCAGGAGTTTCAGAGAGCGAGGCTCTGAGTAACGAAGTATTCCAGGAGTCAGGGGAAAAGAAGCAGCCTGGGGTCCCTAGTCTGTTGGCCAAAGGAGAAAGCCCGTCTTCCCCTGCCCCTACCCGTCCCCCAGACGGGACCGGAGAGGTGATTCCTTCAGGCATGGATGGCCCAGTTGTGGGTCTCGTGACGGCAGAGAACACGGCAGGAGCCCTGGGCACACCCTCGTCAGAGCTGGAGTTTGGAGGGGCTCCTGAGGACGGAGAACCCAGCCACGAAAAGCCAGAAGCCAGCTCTGCCTCGGGCTCCTTACTGGAGCTCAGAAATTTGTTGACGGTGACCATTGAAGTGCCCATGGAATCGGCCACCCTCGAGATTGAGAAAGATTCAAATGAAGAGACCCTTGGTCCCCAAGAAATTGAAAAATTAGAGGAAACAACCCAAATCGACACAGAGGCCGATCAAGAAGCGGCCTCCAGTCAAGACAGCTGTGAAGGCAGTGAAATCAGTGAGAGGGAGGCCCATTTTTCCCCGCCGGAGGTGCAGGCGGAGGCTGGCAGGGTGGAGTTGGGGGTATTGCTGGGGGATCAGCAGGCCTGTGAAGGGCTCACCCAGGGTGCCAGCAGCCCTGGCCCCCTAGAGCAGCAAGCAGAGGCTGGGGAGCCCACTAAGAGGGAGCTCACAGGGGGGGTTTCCAGACTGGATGCCCAGGAAGGAGGAGGGGCTGCAGCCATGGTGGAGGGTGAGGCCAGGCCACAAGAAGATTGCATTTCCAGTGCTCACCACACCTGCCCCAGTGAGAGCCAGGGTTCTGTGGAAGAAGGCCTGGGAGGGACCAGCAGCATGGCCCAGGCCACTGCTAGCATGGATACAGAGGAGATTAAGGCAGCTGGTGTCCATGAGTGCCAGTGGGTAGTGGAGAATGCTCCAGACTTCGATCTGCTAGGTTCACAAGATGTGGGGGAGAGTACCCCAGGGCAGCCCTCAGAAGAGTGAAAGGGACAATTGGGCATAAGTATTTCTTTGCACAAACTCAGCCAAAGGTTAATAGTTATGGGTATGCTTAGGGGTTGCACACAAGTTGTTACCAAAAAAAAAAAAAAAAAAAATTAAGTACTTCCTTAATGTGTGTAATGAAACCAGAGGAAATTCACACAGGGCATGCTCACTGAGGCAGACCTTTGTGGAATTGAACTGTTCTACCGTGAATTACTGCTTTAGCATTTTAATAGGAAGTGTTTGGGGTGAGAGGCAGCTGAGGATGTTGAAGGGAGGCGGTGGTGTTCCAGCGAAGATGAAGAAAACAGTAGGGGCCCAGTTTCCAATACACTGTGTGTTTTCCTCTCATGTACTTCAAGGCTCTTTACTTTTTGGTAAGAATGCAAATGTATACTGTAAATCCAGCTTCACCATCCACTAGAGCAACTTCATTGTCTCTGAAGGACTCAGCATTCCTCCACAGTAGGACTGCAGGGAAGGGTCGGTGGGGAACACTGGTCACCCTGCTGTGGGCAGCCCTGCAGCCCCTGAAAGAGCCCAGGGGAAGCTGAGCACAAATGGAGGAAGGTTGTGGTCTGTGGGGCTGTCTGAGCCTGTTACTAATTATGCTATCAATTTCTTGTTAATTAATCATGTTTATTCTTATTAATTAATCACCTTTTGGGGACATTCAGATGAGGCAAGAAAATTTCCTTGGCACGTTTAAGCCTGAAAGCATTCCAAATTAGCCTTAGGCTGTGCAGAGGGGCCTTAGCTAATTGTCGAGCAGAAAAGACTACAGGTTAAACAAGCATTATTGGAATAGCTGCTCTATGCCACGTGCTGTGCTAGGTAGAGTAACAACAGCAACAAAACAAAAAAGAAGAAGAAAAGATAAGGTGCTTTGTCTGACATAAATTAAAAGATCCATGGGAATTTAAAGGAAGAAATATGCCAATTTTCAAACCATGACAACTTTCTGTCTATCCATTGAAACAGTCCTGGTTCATTTCCAGAAGGGGAATAAAGTGAATAAATGGGAAAGAAAAGAAAGGAAATGAAAAGCCAAGATGTACATCATCAAGTTCCAGTCAAGTTCCAAAGATGTCACCAAAAGTGGAAATCATTTGTTTGGTCATTCAGCAAGTTAACTGAGTCCCTATGATGTCCCAGATGCTAGAGATACTATAGTGAAAAAGACTCTGTTCCTCTCTCCTGGAACTTACGCTTTATGGAAATAGACACAGATACGTCTTCTCAATGGACCGTGACCTAGAAATGTTGATGTTAAAGGACTTACTTGCCGCAGATTAAAAAGCTGTGTTCTATTATCCTTCCAGAAAATACCATATCGTTTCCTAAAAGTTTCAGTCCCAGGTAGTACCTCTTGACATTTCCTTCCACAAATTTTAATATTAGATCCCAACATACTGTCCTAAAATCTTGTTTTGATCGTCATCAGCAAGTTTATATCAGTTGTTTAGAGAATTTGTCCCACAGTTTAACTCTTTCAGCAGGAATTAAAATCTTTCTCTGTCCAACTCCCCATGAAGAATTTCTAGGTGATAAAGAATGAATACTAAGCAGTATCACTATAGTCTCATATTCAATCATTTTAATTTCTCTTAGAGTGTTTAGATCTTTACATCTATGAAGGGTCTCCTTAGAAGAACGTAGAGGCTACTCCTTGCCGGTCATTGCAGTACCCGGTGCTCACTCATATCCTTGCATTAAGCACAGAGTATTGAAATGGTGTTTATTTCCCATCTCTTCTGGGGCCTCTTTCTTCAAGAACAGAAACGGGGGTTTATTAATCATGTGTGCTTCCTGTTAGAGATACACAGCCTGGAATAATGGCTCTCTGCCTTCTCAAGTCACTTTCGTATCCCTAGTGCCTTGCACAAAAACTGGCAGGTGTCGAGCAGCTCAAGACCTGTGAGACCTGAATACCCGCCACGCTGCTGTGCTGGGGCTATTTGGGGCTTGCTGTCAGGCAGGGAGACGTTTTTAATTGGGCTTTCTGCCCTTGGGGAGGCTTCCCTTAGGTCAAGTCCAAAGTCCAAGAGGCAGACAGCAGATGGTCAGATGCACTGCCCAGTAAGGCAAGGAGCCCAAGGAGTAGTGCCCAGACCCACCAAGGATGCCCTTCTCTGCAGGAGAATGTCAGCGAGCAAGGAGGTCCCAGCCCTGCTCGAACCCATGCTGGAGCTTCCCAGCTTCCTTCCTTTGCTCACCTCAGGGCTTCTTGGACCCCTTGGAAAATTAAGAAATTTTTCCAACCCTAAAAGAAAGTACATCTGCATTGGATGGATGACTATCAGTGCCCTCCCTTTACCCATCTTGTAGGCCAGAGGGTACTGGGCACTACATGGTAGGACATACTTGAGAACACAAAGAATTTTTCTGTACATATTTCACAAAAGACAAGTTCACTAGACTAAGCGGGATGATTGTTCCATTTGAAGATGGAACAGGAAACTAAAGTTCATTAAAGATATTCCTTATTCATTTTAACATGTTGAATGGAGTAACTTCATATTACTATGAGCTTGTCTTGTTTTTAATAGACTTGTCTGTGTTGCTTCAGTGGTTTCCAGGTTAGAACAAGGTTATTGTAATTTAAATGAGCAGCATGCAAAGCTTCTGCAGGCTGCTCTGGGGAATCTCTCCTCCAGGCAAATCCATTAGAAATGCATAAAACCTCAGGACGTGGTTTTTGGGAAAAATTCCATGACTTTAAACGAGTTATGTTACTATTGACCTTTCACAAAGAGAATATTTGCCTTGAAAAAAATTAGCTTGTCATTTTTTTTCCCTTTGCAGCTTAGAGTGGAGACAGTGGTACCTTGAATCATGCAGAGAAAACTCTGTTTTCAAAAAAAAAAGTCTTTTGGAAACCACAAGGATAAGATTCCAATCTGTCCAAAAGCTTTTATAAAGAGGCTGTGTGAAGAACTTCAGGTCTCTGGGCCTGATCTTCTACATTTTATTGCAAAGATTCTCGAGTCTGGTCTTGTAACCCTCCAGACTGGAGTCCATGATTTCCAAGGGTTTCACAGTTCTGCCAGATGAGTGATTTTCACTCTTTATCAAAAGTGCTAAATGCTATATGCTCCATAGCAATTTTAATCTGGGGAAGGGAAGGACATCACTGACTAAATCAGTACAGGTTCACTAGGTAAAAAAGTTGGCTACATGTGTCTTCATACTTTAAGTAAGCGGGTTTGGGGACTTGCCTTCTGAAGTCTGGAACTTTAAGAAAAAAATCTACACGGTGGATGGGTTTTTCTGGCCACTATATAAAGCAGATAGACTTAAAGCACTTTGTAACCACATATTTACTCTCCCAAGTGCCTATATTCCAATAAAATGTTCATCCTTGAAGAGTTGTCCAAATGTCATATTTATTTAGAATGGGAGTGGTTTCATCTTTTAAGCAAACATCATACTTGAGCTGGGAGGAACAGCCCTCAGATGGAAAGGTGAGTCACTGTTGCTGCATTATGGAACTTTAAATTTTCTGTTGTCAGAAGGGAGTCCACAGAGAAGTCACTTAATGTCAGATGTAATTATGCTTTGAAAATTCTGCTTATTTCTCTAGGAATTGGAATACGTCTATAATAACGGGCAATTACTCTTGACGTAATTGAACTGCTTTTCAAACAAGTTTATCTTCGATGGGTAACATTAAGCAAAACATTCCTTCTTTCTATGACCACAAACAAAACAATATTTACTCACCAATATCTACAGTTGCTCATTCCTCCATGAATTCATTCATCCAAAAAATAATGATTGTGTATCTATTATATGCAGGCACTCTAGGGGATACTGGAGAAGCAGAGGTGAATAGGGTGGATATGGTCCCTGACATCACCAAACTCAAATTCTCATGGTAGACATGGCAAGGGAGGGCCCAGAATGGGTATTTGCTGGCTTGTTTGGCATAAAACTTGTCTATAACAGTTTAAACTCTACCTAAGCCAACAGCTCATCCAGGAAAGGACGAAACATTGGAGAAGTAAGTCTAGCAGGGATGGGGACACTGGGTGTGGCAAAGACTTTACCACTCCCTCTCCTTTCATATCAAACTCCCAATATGCAAGAATCATTCTCAGAGTGGCTCCTCCAGAACTTTTATTTAGGGCCAAGGATCAGATTGGAATTGGGGGTTCCAATTCCAGTTGGAGATTACATTGATTTGAAATGTCTTCTGCATAGTTTTTTCTTAGATTATATGTTTATTTGGTGTGGTTTGGGTGGAACTAATGGACGTTTTGGGAGGAGTCAGCTACATAAAGCTCTTCTGTCAGCGCTGCTTGGAGCTACTCCTGCTTGAACACCTCTCAACCTTTGCCAGAGTCTTCCCTTTTCCAAGAACTTCTGACCCTCCTTTCTCAATCTGGCCAGTTCCCACTTTTCCTGTAAGAGTTAGGACAAGTCTGGACAAACCCTTCCTCCCTCCCCATAACACTTTGCTGAACTGTCACCCTCGTTTACTTGCACACTTCTATTGTTTTCTCTCACTCTATCGCAGCAATCTACTGTCTCTGTGCCACCCTGTCTTCAATCTTTGTGTCCCTAACAGAGTATACATCCTTGTACACAGAAAACGCTCAATAAATGTTGAACAAATGAATAAATATCGCTAATCCCATAAGTAGGAGACAAGTGGAGAGGTAGCTGATGATTGCCTGGCATAGCATAATGGTCTGTGAAGCTGGTAACTACTCACCCTCAGCCTACTGAGAGAGTTCAGTTTTTGTGATGGAATTTCTTCATCCCATGTTTGTGCACACCTGTTCCTCTGGGAGAGAGCATCAGAGCCAAGTCGCCCCCACATCAAGCTAGCTAGTATGAACCACTCCTAGTTTTCAAAACAGGAGCCTCCACTGGATTTTCCTGAGGTCCCTATGAGGTCAATGAGGTAAAGTTAAGAAGTTTACCCTTGAATGCCACCCAAATCTGGGAGACATGAGCAAATGCCCAAGAAATTCATGGACAGCCTCTGCCTTCTGGCAATCCTTCCTCTTGAGACTGGGCAAGGAGCGGGAAAGAGGCTGTGGTCCCTGCTTTTAGGGAACTTGGTCCAGTTGGGAGGACAGAGAAGCAAGTGGTGGTTCTGCAGGCAGAGGAGGAAGCGTTCTGGCAGCACAAAGGAAGGGCAACCAAAGACTACTCAAGAAATTTCACATTTGGTTTTGAACCTATTGAGCCTGCCCTTTATGTCCTGCCTCACTTACTTCTTCTCTGTCATGTTCTAGAATCCAAACTCTAGCTGCCTACAGATAACCTGAAGAACATTTTTATCAAGACCTCTTTATACCAACCCCTACACACTCTTTTCAGGAATCTTGTGGCCTCTCTGGATGCTGATCCAGACCTTCTGCAGATCCATTGTAGTTTAATTCATGGAAGCCAAATTCATGGATTAATTTTCCCCCTCTGGTCTCTATACGAAAGGATACATAAGTGTAGTGGTGAGGTCTCTCTTTATATTAGCAATTCTAAGTGAAACTGTTGGGGTGGGAAAGTGGGTTTATGTGTTGGGGAATTCCTCCAAGGTACTGAAGTGATTTTGAAGCTAAGGGGTGGCTTTTGGGTGATAATACTAACTCTCCCTTCCCTCCCTGCCTCCACATTCTATGCAGCCTCTTGAATCATGTGGGGGACAGTTTTTTGGTACGTTGGTTTGAGGGAGATCATGTGGGGAAAAAGGAAGGTATTTTAATTTTTATCTGTCAGAGGCTTCAAGTTTTGAACCCTTAAATTTTTTATTCAGGTCTTAGAATAAATGATATTTTCCATGCACCATCAGGATTCATTCATGGGGTAATTTTTTCCAAAAATATTTATTGATACCTACTAATGTGCTGTGGACTCTGCTAGGCCCTGGGAACAGAGAGGCAGATGCTCACCCTAGTGGCATTCAGACTGTGGGTTATCTTTTCTGCACTGAAAACTTCTGTTACTCAACTTAAGGGAAGTATTCTTAAATATAAATGAGCCTCTCCACCTTTAGATCACATTTTAGAATTCTTCATTAAGTTTGCTTATAAACTTGATTTACTTTCGTTGAGGTCATTTATGAGAAAATTGCATGGCTGTCAACTTATTGTGTGAACTTGGGCTAATTATTTGACCTTTATAAGAACCAGTTTGTGAAATGGGAATAACAGTACGCACATCACAAGGTTATGGCAAGGATTAAAAGAGATCATTAAAAGAGACATTTAAGCCCAGATGAATAAAATGAGACTCAGAGAAGTTAAGCAATTTCCTGAAGATTACACAGCTAGTAACTAGTTGAACCAGGTGCATCATTTAGCAATTGCTACAAAGCAAAGCCATTCTAAAACTCAGTGGCTTAAAACAGTAACCATTTAGTATTGTTCAGAAGACTGCAAGCCAGACATCAGGTAGAGAGATCTTCTGATCTTGGCTGGCTCTCTCGACATGTTTGGGGGCTGGCTGTATGTCAATCTAGCCTAGAGGTGTTTGGGACAACGGGGCTCTACTCCGTGTGGTCTCTCCCTTCAGCAGGCTGTTTTGGGCTTATACATGTGGTGCAAGCAAGGTTGAGAGAGAGGAGGTAGGAGGAGGAGAGAGAGAGAGAGAAGGAGGAGGAGGAAAACCAAAAGCTTCTTGAGACCTGGGCTCAGAACTGCTGCAACATCCCTTCTGCCTTACTCTACAGACCAAGGCAAGTCACAAGACTGGCCAAGATTCAAGGGATGGGAAGAGCTGCAAAGTCACATTGCACTGGGCATGAGTCCAGGTAAGCCATTAACTGGGACCATCAATGCAATCAGCTGACCTCACCAGGATTCAAATGACTCCTGTACTATGAACAAAACCCATACTCTTGCCTCTGTACTACGTTAACCATAAACACACAGACGTATTGGTTCCCATCACATGCTTCCCCAACATCTATGTGCTACTGTAACCCCACTCACCATGAAGTGAACAAAACATGATCACTCCCAACTCAAATCCTTTGGCCTATCAAAGAATCCTGAGTTTTGCACTGGGTTTGAAAATGAATCTTTCATTGAAAAATATTTTTTACAACTAAGAAGAAAGGTCTAAAAGGGATTTTTCTCCCTATCTTAGCAACAGAATTCACATTGTTTACAAGCTGCTTTGATCAACTATAACAAGATCAGTGATCATGATCAACATGTTAATTATCTCAAGGTGAGTGAGAAAATTTGACCTGTGACATAGCATATAATCTCAGCAAAACAAGCACAATTCTGTACAATAAACATGCTAATAATGGACACCAGTTTTCTATAGCAAACAATCATAGTCTTCAGAAAAGGTTACAGTCCTTGGGGGATAATTATAAACACACACCCACTCCACTCAATGCTTTGAGGGAAAGTTTTTTGCCTTCTCAAAAATAAAACAAAATGAAACAAAAAATGTTAAATTAACTAGAAACTCCATTCCCTGACACAAAACATATTTATCCCATCTTTATTCCTTATAACTCTAAGGTAACTCATCTGTAAATATTCCTAACCCCTCTCCTTTTCCTATTAAAATATGATCCTCAGGATATGACCTTTTTCAAAGCACGTGTATCAGATTTTGCCCTTCTAGTTTTCTTGCTAGAACGTTGTTGTGATCTATGGTTGTCTTTTAAATTTTTAAATAAAAGATTTTGGGGCTTACAACAATTTTACTCTACATCTTGTAGTATACCATCTCATCAAGAATCTTTCTTTTCCTGCCTATCCAACACATAGGACCACATCATTCTGCTCCTAGCATTAATTTTAGGCCTTCTTTCTCTGAATTCCTTTGGCTATCATGTTAACAACATTGATTTGGGCACTTACTTACGCATCACCAAGAAACTTTTAATGATTTCCCATGTATTTTGGCTCATAACTTTTGGAGGAGAGGGAGTTTTCCCTGCATGTCTAGAAACTCAATATACTCCTGAAATTAGAGACTGTTAGGGTTGAAGATACCCTGATGTTTACCCAGTGCAAATGCATCCATAGTGCTTGCATTTTCCCCTTTATAAACCTTCCTGCTAAGTGGCCATCCACTGTGGTTGGGGAGCTCACTATCTCCTAAAGATTATTCCATTTCCAGATAGCTTTGATGGCTAGAGAGCAACTATCTTACTCTTTCATTCTCCACTTTTCCTCCACCAGTGTCATCAGCTATAATTCCTGTCCCATGGGGCCCATTCTATCAGGGCTGTATACAATATTCTAAGCTCTTTTCCTCAGGACAGATTTCAAATCTCCAAACAACTGATATGCTTTCTCAGAATAAATATCCCCAAATCTCCTCTTTTTTTTTATGTGACATGGCTTTTAAATTTTACTTATTTTTTGTTGAGGTATAATTAACATACATTA